ATAAAACTAATATTGGTACAGATTCTATATGAGGAAAGGAAAAAACATTTGAAAAATATATGATGCCAAAGTAAAAGCAAATGTAAGAAATGTCTTACCAATAGTAACATCTGAAGATGAATGAGTCTCCAAGAATTTGTTGATGTGACTCCAGCATCTTGGGAGCCAATCCAGCACTTGCTGAAGCCGGGGTAATCTTGAACCAGCTTCCACTTCAACCTGTGTCAATCTCCTTCGAGCTACTCTTCCCACTAAGCCTTTGACAGGCTCCATGTGATTGGCCATCAAAACCCATCTGTAATTATTTGAAGGAAGTTATAAGACTTGTTCATACTAAAAACAAAGAAAGATAATCAACATACCTTATACATTACAGAACTTTGATATTATTGCACGGACTGAAAATTTTTAGCACATACCTAAAGTTATGGTGCAACTGTAAGTTAGTTGTTGAACATGATGTAGTTTGGTTCATTGTTCCAATAATATAAGGACAATGGCTGTACTTTGCACTTAGGAACCCATTGAATACATCAGTTAAGGCTCCTGCATGGTGCAAGTTATCTAAAATGATGACCAAAGGCAGATCTGAAGTATTACTCTCACATTGTTCACTTATGTGAGAGAGGTAGGCTCCAAGGTCTTTTCCTGTCTTGTGGTCAACACTGTTGAAAGAATGTTATATTAGAAAAGAAATACCAAAAACATCTTGTAATATACCTATATTTAATTTAATTTTTTTCTTCTACTACTGTTGCATACATGTCTGCTAGCTGTCAAGTCCTAAGAATTTTTACTTACTTGAAGGTTGCAATATAACCAGGTGATGGGTCTTTTCCCATTCGAGTTACTAGATATTCTGCTAACTTCTGGGCCAAGTATGTCTTTCCTGTGCCTGAAGGACCACACAAAATAATCCTCCGGTGTTCAGTCAAGAGAGACATGTATCTTTGGACAATGGACTTTGGAATCAAAGTTTCAAATGCAAGAGCATCCACATGATTCAAAGTGGCTCCTTTGAGAGTAATCTTGATGTTTGTCACTTCTCCCACTAAATATCCACAAGGGAGTAACTCCGGTGAGTCTGCATCACGTCCCCTGGCAATCTCTCCAATGTGGTATGAGAAAATAGACTCAGCACTAAGTCCCAGGTTGGAGACGGGGTCGACTCTCAGGATGTATTCCTTAAAAATGCGTTTCACAAGATTGTCTAACATATCCCACTTGGTTTTCCCACTTACAGATATAGCTCCAATAATACACTCACTAAATGACACACCATCAGCTGGATTCATATATTTATCATAATCTCCATGGCATCCCATGAAGACAGTAATACTGACTCGTTTTCCATCCTTATCACTAGGGTCAATTAAAATCACATCTGTTGAGTCTGGCATTGTCATTTCATCACCACCAAGACTTAATCTTTGTTCTATTGAATCTGACACAGGAAGCGAACTCTGTGAGGAGTTCAAGGACTTTGAGGATACCATCCTCGCCAGTCTATCATTGTCTTGCTTTAGCGACACCATTTCAGAGCGCATTTTGCTTATGGTTTCCTTGAGGGATTCCAGCTGGTGAGCTGAAGATAAGGCTTCAAGTCGAATGTCGGTAAGAGCCATGTCTTTTTCTCGCAACTGAATCTTCAGTGACTCCACTTCCTCTTCCTTGTTGTTACCAAAGGTTCTAGAATGAGAAAAAATTCTTTGTAAAATCATGACAATCAATAACTTATTTTTGGTGCATTTCCAGTGTACTTAAAATCCTACAGAAACAAATGAGTCAACAATTTATATCCAAGGATATCATCCTTACCCAGTTGTGGACTGACACTCTGGGTCACTTGTTCCACCATTTGCTCGCTGGAGGAGAGGAGATGAAGGAGCAGAACATTCTCCGCGTTCCCAGCCTTCCACATCAGAGACTGACCCTCCACCAACGCCATGTTTGCTCTTCTTGTGCCCTCGGGAGAAGGCTTTGCTAAATGAGCTTCGTAGCTACAGAAAATAAAAACAGATCATTAGCATCTTCATTTCTTAATTTTTTTTTCTATCAAGGATTCTTTTTTCTAATATATACTAAGCAACATCTCTCAGCAATACTTACCCAACCTTTCTTCTTTCCAGACTTTGATCCATCACTTTTATCTTGCATGGATGTGTGTGATGCAGCTGAGCATGCAGAGGACAGACTTGACACAGACTCCACTGATGTTCCTCGTACTAGTTTACCACCTGTTCACATATAATAATCGTAATTAGTTAAGGAAGATAAATCATGGGCTTAACTATAAGAGCTGTACAAATACACCAAGGAAAAGGGATTTCTAAAATAGATGAATGTTAAAGAAAGAATAACATTAACAAATAAATAAATAACACTGATGACTAATCAATTTTCATCAATTAGAAAATTATGAAAAAAATAATTACATATACTACATAAAAAGTGTTATTTATTTCTCCACAAATAAATAATATGATTAGTCAATAATATACTAAACTAAATCAATGCATATTATAAAGGATTTAGTAACACATCAAATAGTAAAGTAATCAGTTTCCAGACTGTTCTAATTTAGGTAAATCTCATAATTTGAGAAGTATGTCAGTCTAAAGATGAATATGGTTTGAAAGTTTAAGATTTAAAATAATCAACAATATTTACTTTAACATGGTTGCATAGATAAGACAAAAAAACATTCATCCATTTTTTATACTCCAGAAGGTTATCTTGTGCTCAAAATGTTTAAAATGTGCAAAAGTTCATAATCCACAGAAACATGAAACTCTGGCAAAGAATATCCACAAAACAAAATAAAACCAACAGGCAGCAAGCTTGGACAGAGAAGACAAAGTCAGAAATCACTCATGCATAAGAAATGTAGAATTGGTGGAGTTAAAGTTTGTTAGCATTAAATAATTTCTTTTAAAAATCTTTGTCTTAATTGTCATTATTTAAAACAAATCATTGGAAACAACATTTAAAAAATCTGAACTAAACAAGTGCAAACACTGATAATAAATAAAGGGGTTGGGACACATTAATACACGTAGATCAAAAGGGAAACATTTAAAAATGGAATTAACAGTCTTGGTTAATAGAGTTGGGGCAAGGAGGAGGGGGTGGGGTAGGCGGGTGGCAGGGAGGGAATTGTAGTCTAAACCCATGTTACCTAAGCCCAATCAAACACCTGACTGGCATTTGGTTCACCTAGTATGCATACTCTGTCTTTACTGGTAAACTATAGACTCCCACAAGTCTGGTCTGCCATTACAAGTCAGCTTAGCCAAAAGACTGGCATGAGCCTTGAAGTAGAGAAGAAAAGCCTGCTTGCTTGTCAAAAGGTGAAGAAGTCTCACCAGCTTCAGTGAATTCACACACTACAAGGTCTTTACAATTCCCCGTGAAGGTGTGCCTGCGCGCAAGGTCATGCCCTGATTTTTCTGGTGAACTGGAACGACTGCCTGAGGTGACATTGAGCACAGAACACGAGGCAATGTTGGGAGAGAGATGGGTGTGTTGGTGCCTGGCAGGGGAAGGGGGGGAGTGGTGGTGGTGGTGGTGGTGCTGGTGGTGGCCGGGGGACGTACTTTGGAGACAGGCTACGGTAAGACCAGCGTCTACACTTTGTTGACGCAGGGCCTCAATGGTTTTACGCAACTCCATGACCTCCGAATCCTGAAAAAAACATAGGGATTATTTGTAGAATTTTATTATCCAAGAGTCCAATACACCCTCTACATAAACTCTAATTAGTAATCAATATTCATGCAATATATCAAAGATAAGCAAAATCGTGTATGTATACATACCAGTATGTATATGTGGGTGTTTGTGTGCATTTGCATGTGTGTATGTGTACATATATCTATATATGTTTATGTGTAAGTATGTGCTAGTGGGTGTGTTCATACTGAAAAGTATGCACAGCTAAATAATTCCACAAAAAGAAATTTTACCACCATTTCTATTTCATTAAATGATACCAAGAGAGTAGTATTTGTAAAATAGCTTAATTGCACATTAATCAGATTTTTGTTCCATGACACTTGTGGGACTGATTGCATAAAACACATTTTATTTATTTATTTTTCATTTCATTACCTTTTGCTCTGATGTTGCTGTAAGCTGTTGCAATCTGTTTGTCATGTTGGTGAGAGATTGCTCAAAGGCAGCAACTACATGGGCCTGTGGATAAAAGAAAAAATATATATATACATATACATATCTATTGCAATACTTGAAATTACTGATATTCAACAACCAGCCAAAGCATTCCCTATGGGATAAACTCTTTTTAATTCTTGTTTATCTGTTTTAGATGCAACCATTTACAAACTCTACTGATATTTACCGTATTCTTCAGGTTGAAAACTGAGTTCTGGAAAGAGAAATCTTTTAGTATTTGCTTGGCTGGTTGCTTTTTAATACTTTAAATTGGATATAGCTCTTCCCAAGCAAAAAGACTGATTTCTAAACAAAAACCAAAAAAACAAAAAAACAAGGAATTACAGAAAAAAGGTTAAAATTTAAAATAAAAATGTTCAATTCGCATGTGATTCTACAAAATACCTCTACATGTAAGCAACTAAAATTTCACTAAATGGAGCTTACATTAGTACTAAGTTGGTTACTCAGAGTTCCAACTTTCTCTTGTGCTTCAGCCAATTCTTTCCTCAGCTTCCTAATCTCCGCAGCTTGCTTTTCCTCCTGTGAGCTGTACAGTGATGATGAGGAGGACACCAATGATAATGAAGATCCATGACCTGAAAGAGAAGAAATATGGAATGATTTTATCAGAGCTAATATAGCTGTGAGAATACATGACATCAAATTTGCAGCTAATTATAAAATATCCAAGATCCACTATAATAATAAAAGAACTTACATTCATCATCCTTTGAAGTTCTAGGGATCACAGTTGAATAATATGGGGAGCCTCGAACAGTGTTCAAGGGAGATATAGGTAGCCTGGTGCCTCCTGGTGGTGTTGGACTGGTAGGCTGTGAGGCATGGTAGCCATCTCGACCTCCCATACTACTACTGTACAGTTTCTCAGACTTTGTAGATCTGGTGGAGGAAATGTAAATTAAAATTTTGGAAAAACTTGGATTTGATTTTGGTACACCTGAATCAAAATGCATGTAAGTTTCCACTACATAGAATCATTTATTATAACCATAACTATCTTGCAACTTTAAGACATCCTCACTCACTTACTAAAGTATTTTACTTTTTTTAAAGGGGATTTTACAGACTCTGGGCTCTGATCATCATAAAAATGTATTTTTTGCTTTCTCTTACTTATCAACAATCCAAGACCAACATGAATAGAGCATAATACTTATAAAACCCCTGTGTATGGCAGTAAATAAAAGCTGAACATTACTAGCTTCATTCTTAAAAAGTTCCATCAGTACAGAAAGATGCATTAATAATCATATTTGCATTGGCATGCTCATGATGCTATCAACATAAAAGTGATGCAAGGCTGTGTAAAGTGAGTACACAACCGTATAATATTGTATAAGTATATTCTCTTATACATGCTCAAATCACTGTAGTTCCTTCCATGACTAAACAATGATCTGATTTTCAGGAATACCACTTGAGTTGATTAGGTGGTAAAAACGAATGAAATGTTACAGATTTCAGGCAATGAGAATGTCAACTAGTAATATGCCATTCAAAAGCCTACTTGGTCGATATTTGAGCAGGATAATGATATTCTGTGGTATGATCATGTCATGCTAATGATAAGTGCTACATAACCATACCTAGGGAAGGTCCGTTCAATAAGATGGCTGTGGATGGGGATAAAATTCAGTTAATGTTAAACATTAGAAAAAAAAATCCAGTTCCTCTAAATCTCAAAACCATAGCAGGATTTTGATAACCCAATTTTGGATATTCTCATACTGGTATCCAAACATAGGAAACATGAAATTAAGGTTCTCATGCTGGGGAGAACTAAAATAATTTTAAAAATAACTGATTTCACAATCATTTATAAACAAGGTTTATAAATCATACTACAGGCCTTTCTTTAAATTCTTCACTATATAATTTGGGTTTCCTAATTCATTGGGTATAAAAACAGACCAAAATAGCCCTGCTTTTTAAAGGTAAAATTATCATTTCTTATCAATAAGCTTTTTATGTTCAACATATTTTCTTTTAAAATATCATGATTTATGATTAAAATCTATATTAATTTGTAATTGAAACCACATTTCTAAAAACAGTGCATTCGTGATTATGAACAGAATAAACAATACTATGATGAAGTGACCATTGTTACTGGATACCAATACATTTTTATGAGTGTCATTCATCTTCATTTGTATTTTCCACTCTTACATTTACCTATTCCTATATTCTCAGTCAGACCCATCAATCCATGCATACCCAAGATATAAAAATACACACATTTTGTACAACTATCAAACTTTTAAGCAGTGCAAAAGAAGAAAGACAAGTCACCATAAATGAGCAGACAAACAGTAACAAATTTCAGGGACAATAATATGGCAGTAGGAATAGCAGCCGTCTAAACGTGCCCTTCACCAATCTCTGACCTCCAAAGATAAAATGCCAAAGGCTAAATACCGAAAACATGTAGCCAATATAAATCCAGACAACTTGCATAATTTTGAAATATAGTTAAATCCAGACACGGGAACATATTTCACAAATATAAATGGTGTTTACCTAACACTATTGGAGCGAGCGAGCCTAGGGGAGGGTGATGAGGACATTTCCCGTTGGTGCATCATGAGGCGGGCTTGTGTGAGGCTGGTGGCTCGAGCGTGCTGGATCTGTGCAGCTATACTCGAGGCGCTTGAGCTTATACTCTCCATGCTCTCTGCCTCTGTCAGACTGCCACCCAGGGGTCTGTGTTTTTAAATGAAGCCATGGTATGATGCTGTGTTACAAAAATCTATTTAAGAAATGTTGATATATCTTAATGTGGAACCTAGAATTTAGGGCTGAACAGTACCAGCTTATATAAGTGGATAATTAGTGCAGCTCATGTAAAAGAAAAAATAAAGAACAAAATCAATAAAATTACAATGCTATTAAGCTATGTATGAACACACAGTTGAAATAAAAACAAAACGTGATGCTTGTGGTGTAAGAGCAAAATACTGCATAAACAAAGAAACACATACAGAAAAGGAGCTCTGTAATTTTACCTTGTTGGTGCAGAAGCCACTGATCCTGCATAATTACTTCTGGATACCCAGGAATAGGGGCTACTATATGGACTTCCACTATACTGTATCTCTGCATAATTGGAATATGGAGAATCGCTTAATGAGCCATCTGTGGGTTTGATGCGAGGACTTCGTTCCCGATAATATGCAGGAGGATACTGTCCATATTCTCCTACATGAATTTTGCCATAAGGAGACTGCATGATTCTTTCCCGCACGCTCTGTGACAGCTGAGCAGCAACTGGACCATTTAAAGAATAGGACTTGAGTTGGTACTTTCTGCCAAGAGAACCTGATGAATACTCGCTATCACTATGGACTCCTGTAGACATATAATGAAGGTCGCTGGTGGTTTGTGTGCCTCCAGACACCTTAAGTTTGGTTCTTGGTCTTTCCAAGCTGTGACTAGAGCTATCATGACGAGAGCTGCTGCCACCAGCACTGTCTACCTCTTTAACAGACTTACTACCCTTTCCACTGCCAGTGCTTGATACACTGCCAGTACTAGTGGTTCTCTTTCCATTGTATCCAAAGTTACTGGGAGCAGTCTTGGGATTCTGAATTTTCTTTGACTCCCCATTCACCTGAGGAGACATGGCAACAGCAGACTTGTCTCTGCTACTTCTCTCTCCTTCTCTTCTCTTTTCTCCACTGGTTCCTTTCTTATCCACCTTCCTAGATCCACCTGAGGCACTACCAGATACCCCAGAACTACCATTTAGTCCTGGACTGCTGGGAACTCCAGTTTGTGGAGAACCCAAGTTGGACTTCTTGTGGTCTACTTTACGTGAGCTTCCACTTGATGGATCAATGCCTCTCTGTAAATCTCTGGCTGAACGTTCAAGGCTTCCTTTCCCATTTTCTACATATTTTTTCCACTGTGTGTTTGATATTTGTCTGAAGATATAAAATCATATGATTAGGAATAATAATAATAATAATATAAAAAAATAAATATCATTCAATAGCTGTTCAATCAAGTTAAAATGTTAAATATGTAGTGCATAATACTATATGGGTCACTTTAAAGTTAGAAACATAAGATCCAAATGACTTACTTAAAGGCACTATTATCAGTCTGTTGGGCGCTCTCTGTCTTCTTGACATGAGCTCGGCTGGATACTACTTTATACACGCCAGAGGGATCTACACCCATGGCTACCTTCCTGGACGATGACCCACTCAGACCCACCGGGAGTTTCAGGCCAACCTCCTTCATGCTACGACCCTGCTGTGAAGAGAAAGGAACGGAGTTATCAAAGTGTTTATTATCAGATGTATGGCTATATTAGCTTCGTGTGTGATGTGGTGTGTGTGTGTGTGTGTGTGTGTGTGTGTGTGTGTTGTGTGTGTGTGTGTGTGTGTGTGTGTGTGTGTGTGTGTGTGTGTGTGTGTGTGTGTGTGTGTGTGTGTGTGTATGTGTGTGTGTGTGTTTATACTGTCTATGCGTCCATGTGTATATGTATGTAAGCATGTAGCCATATATGCAAGCACAGAGCTTGTTAGTATATTCACATATCTAATAACAGTATAACTGAAAACTGCATGTACTTGCTCAAGGAGTATGTAAAAGTGTGAGCAGACTGATGATAAAGCTACACATCACAAAATCAATATATTCTAAATGGAGATGAATGAGGTGTGAGGGCAAGGTTCCCTCATCAGCAAGATGTCCTAACACAAGAGTCTCAACAAACTTGAGAAATTGGGTGTAATTTACATGTTGCCATCTAAAATGGAAACAATGCAAATCAATAATCTTGATAAAACTTAAATACCATTATCCTCATCAGACAATCACAAACTCATTAAACTTTTTCTATTTCTTTTAAAAAATTAATGAAAGGCCTCACATGCATTACTGGTAAGCTGCCTTGATACATACAGCAGCTACCCAAGAACATAAAGATAGATCGATAAACAGTCTCTGGAAACCAGCCATAACTCAATATATCTTGCGGTCAGCCACACCCACATGTCACAACTGCCATTACCATCTACACGCATGCAACCACAAGGACAGTTCTAGGACACGTGTGCACAAACACATACAAACACGAACACACAAATGTGTACATTCACACACACGCACACATTCGCAAACACACTCAAACTGGTGTACATTTTTCACGCATGAGTCTATCATAAATAGATTTCATAATAGTAGGTGCACTCACACGCACTGCGTGCTCTCGCATAATCACACACAACACATCGGACACTCCAGCAACAACACACATCACATGTGATGCAGCAACTAGAGCTGTAAAATTCCACAACACTACAGATAAAGAGAGACTTCACATGGGACGGAAGTCTTCACTACACACACCAACAACAGCTATCAACACCAGAGCATAGCACTACCACCAAACATCATACATTTAATTGTTTGTAAACTTATATTTTATGTATGTATGTATTTTATTACACTTCATCTGTCTATAGATATTTGTTCCATGTCATCAACATGAGAGTAGCTAGGGACGGTCTTCCACTGTTACACTGCACAACTATAATGATAACACGTCACAACCCATATATACCACATAACATCAAGATATCAGGCTCACATTGATCACTATTGTCACACACAAAGCATACACAATATCAGCTCAGACAGCACGCACACTCACTACACATCAAACGATGCGATTATCTGCAGACACACATTCATTACACCAACGCTGGTATGATGTGTACATTTTAATTTACGCAGAGTACCGGTTTCTCATATCGCAATATCTATACATGCATGCACACACTAACACACACTA